ACTGACATGGTGGCAGCGGCGATGGGCTCAAGTGTAGCAAGAATCATGGAGCTGGCTCAAGACCAGGCAGTGTTTCATTCTGCTGTGCATAGGATTGCTATGAATCGGAGATGATTCGATGGCACCTAACCACAACAACAACAGAGAAAAATTAAAACACTAATTTAAGCTTGTCAAACTTGATAGCAGTTATGTATTACTTCCCTGGAACCATGACACAAAGGTAGCTTCAATATCAAGTGCAGGAAGTTAAAAGGCTTTTTCCTGTTTTTCTGATGGAAGCCAGTTTCATGTATACTCACTAGACTCTGGCTGACCATAGCCAACATCGTACACCCCCATCCACAACTAGAAATTCTTCCATGGAGTCTGAAGGTATCCCCAGGTCATCTTCAATCTTGGGAACCATAAAGAGGAAAACGAAATTGGTGCCGAAGGCAGACTTGAGATGGCTGATGAACACACCGGGAGCTCTGGTAGCATAGTGGCAAAGGCACTTGACTGCTAACCAGAAGTCTGGCGGTTCAAACCCACCAGCCACTCCTCGGAAGGAAGATGGGGCAATCTACTTCCGTAGTGATACCACCTCGGAAACCCAAGGAGGGGTCGCTATGAGTCGGGTCAGACTCGACGGAACATAACAACAACAACAACAACAATGAACACACCTGGGAGGTGGAAATAGGGGCGCTTTGAGAATCTAGATTGAACCAAATCATCAGGTGTGCAGAGTGGAAACTCCAACTTCCTCAGTGCACCCAGAACAAGGTGATAATGCACACATAGAGATATGAAAAAGTTTAAATACGTGTCATTATTTATATTATATGTATATATTTCTTGGGGAGCTCTGGTAGCATAGTGGCTATTCCCCCCAGAAAAAATTTAAAGTAGTCAACAAAATGCACATAATATAGGGGAATATTTTTTTAATCAAATGAGAAGTTGAAGAAAGATAAAAAGTAAATGGTAAAATGCAAGCCAACAGATCCTGGACAGTAACAGATCCCCAAAGGACCACAGAGTGATGCCCCAGTTCTATTTAAAGTAACTGCCTTTCCTCTAAGAGATTAGCCCCATGGTCAACCTGAAAGAATAGGGTAAACCACAGAAGTTGGTCTTCAGAATTCTATCTCCTCCTTTTCAGTATTTTAAACACTGAGTTACTTGACTCCTTCCTGTCTTCTCCTCACAAAGGTGCTCAGAACCACATTCTTCTATGATCCCAGGCTCCTTCCTGTGATCAGCCTCTAGATTCAGCATGTACCTTCCCCTTCTCTCTTCCACCTGCCATGTCCTACTGATAGTATATTCCTTCAAGTCTCCACTCTCTGTTTTCTTAGGAACCACTAGCAAACTTTACAAACCAATCTCTTCTAAGGTGTCATCGTAACAGTGAAAATGTATTACTACATTTTAATAGGAGACAATGCTGTACTGGAAAAAACAAATCCCTAATGGAGAAAGGTCAAGAAATGCAAGGAGACATTCCTGATTCCTCCCTCCACCTACTCGTAGGGCTGCTTTGGTTATCATCTGGCTTCTGCAGCTTTGTTTTAACCATTAGAATTGTATGATTTCCTGCTCATCAGTTGCTTTAAGTTGGGTTTTGTTTGTTTTTGTTTTTTCCCAAATTGCCTTGCTGGGAATATTCAAAGTTGTTCTGATGGTAACATTTAGTAGCAAGCTGTGTAAAGATTTAACCCTTTCATGACCCAATTATTTTCTGCTTTGACTTCTTTGGTGATACCATGTGTTTTTGTTAATGGAAGGCATGCTGAATCAAGGAGCATTTCTGAAATTTTCTTATGAAATATGGATTTTGATACATATTGTATCAGACACATATGTCTCTCTGGACTCTGAGGGAAGGATTATGTGGGATACATATGTCCCTCTTGACTCTGGGGTAGGGTTATTTGGGACATGACCTTTTGGACTTTGAAATGCCATCTATATTCTGAATACAATTTAGAACACTTGAAAATGTGGTATTTGCACAAATATGGTGCAAATCATCATGAGAAAGGCAACTTGCAAATAATGCACCAAAACAAAACCCAGTGCCATCAAGTCGATTCTCACTCACAGCAACCCTTTCCAAGGCTGTAAATCTTTATAGAAGCAGACTATCTCATCTTTCTCCAATGGAGCAGCTGATAGGCTCCAACCACCAACCTTCTGATTAGCACCCAAATGCTTTAATACTGCACCATCAGAGTTCCTAAATAACACACAGAAACCCAGAATTATCTTCCAGTTTAAAAAAAAAAAAAACTAAATGAGACAAAAGTTTTCCAAAATCAAACTTTCAAGAGACATCACCTCATACAAACCAACTGCCATCACAGCGACCCCCATTGGGCTTCCAAGGTGGCAAATCTTTATGGAAGTAGATTGCCTGGTCACGCTTCTGTGGAGTGGCTGGTGGGTTTGAACCACCAATGTGTCTGGTTAGCAGTCAGATGCCTTAGGCACTGTGCTACCAGAGCTCCTAACCTCATACAAAAACCTATAAAAACAGTAATTTGCAACACACACCCATTTCTTCCATTTCAGTTACACAGGTCCTCTCCTGTGTACACGCTGTCAGTGGGAAAGCAGCTGCCCAATAAACCCCAGAACAGGAAAATGTAGGTGGGTGCTATATGTCCCATGGGTCATAGAAGGGTTAACAATCAGTTCTTAGGAAGAAAAACCCATGATTTGTATCATCTGCCAATTTCCTTGGTTTAAATACACCTACTATGGTAGATTTCAAGTTACTCAATAGCACATCATACATCATACATAGTTATTTCTACCATACAGATAAAATAAATGTAAATAACCTAAACAGCATAAATTACAGTAAAATGTACTGAAATAACTAGGATGTGGTGAGTTTTGCACATTACCTTTGTTTTTAATTCAACTTTAAGTTTATATAATTTAAATTTTAATAATGGTTATATTTAACAACTGGCTCACATAATTGATGAAAATGTCAAGGTGAGCTCCAGCGCAGCACACCACTGCATGTTGCTCTTCAGGGACATTAAAGATACTCTGAACAAATTACAAGTCAACTAAATGGCTACTAAATCGTCAGGATCAAACTATCTTCTGAATTTCCAAGAGTGGCAACCTCTTTGCTACTCTATTTTAGAAATACTCAAAGTACAGGTTACACCGTGGAGAGTATTTTAAGAACACTGTAATGACAGTGCCGTTCATTTGTACTTTCCAAAGGAGTTCCTTTATGGCATAGTGGGACAGTCTGACACTGCATAGTGAATTTAAGTCGGTAGGTATTAGCACTTTAGTGCCTAGTAGATGAAAAGGGAGTCCTGGGAACTGTTTGTCGAAGTGATGAAGGGGTGGGGCTGAGAGCCGAGCAAGAGGACCCAAACGCTGGTCGGTGGCTTCATGGTTCCCCGATCCCTTTTGCAAATGGCTCCGTCACTGTGCAAGCGGGTGTAAAGTAGTATCGGAGCTTTCCTTCCTTTCTCTCCTAAGTTGGGAAATTTGACTGGAACTTCCTAGTCCCTGGTGAAAAAGATAAGATTGGACGGGTTAAGCTCTGTGTCCTCAAAAGCTAAAACTATTAGAGCTATAAAATTCAGATCTGCTATTATCAGAACAGCTTTGTACTGTTTTTCTTCAGAGCCAAATGTACTTACGTAGAGTGTACATAGATTGTCACTGCCAAAACTACCATCAGCAGTAGTCGTGGCCGAGTGGTTAAGGCGATGGACTAGAAATCCATTGGGGTCTCCCCGCGCAGGTTCGAATCCTGCCGACTACGAGAAGTAATATTTTGATACTTAGCATTTGTTTATTGTTCCGGAACGTTCTTCCTCGTCTTTCCGAAGATTATTTAAGAAATAAATTAATGGTTGAAACACAACGGGGATACCGAGAGGGCAGGGAGATGGGTGGGCGAGGGAACAAGGAAGTTGCGTGAGTGTGATTACAACTTAGATCCAGAAGGGGGAGATGAGACGAAACACGCCAGGGAAGCTGGGACAAAGAGAAGCAAAGCGTCTCGAGGTCACACAAGAACAGACAGCTCCGACCTAGAGGACGCTGCCCAGGGCTCGAGGACCCCCGTGTCCTTCTGCGCGACCACAACGTTGGCGCCCAGGCCTTGCGGGCGCCTCCAGGTGGCCAGAGGGGCGGCACGCGCATGCGCGAGGCCTGGAGTGAGCTAGGGTGAGGTCACACGCTTCAGGCCCTCGCGTTGCCCCTAGAAACCATCCGGCGCTGTGGCTTGGGGAACTGGAGAAAGACCCGACGATTCAAGATGGCGAAGGATCTGGACGAGCTGTTGGATGAGGTTGAGTCCAAGTTTTGCAGACCTGACCTGCTGCGACTGGGCATGGTCCAGCAGCCCAAAGGGTGCGGCAGCACCCACAGCTGCGACCGGAACCGAGCAGAGGCGAAACAGAATCTCAGGTTAATGGGCGGGAGGGGATGGGTTGTTCTGGTAAAGCCTGCTCCAGGCCCCAAAGCCGCAGCACCGCTGCCAAAAGAAACGTGGCTCTGTCTGCGATCTCCGGCTCGCTCTCGATAGGTCTCGGACCCTCAGTTCCCCACCCCCCGGGGCAGCGCACACCTCCCACTCGCAGTCCACGAGGATTCTGGCAACTCCTTACTAAACCAGACTCCGCCCCCGGGCGTACCCGAGAGAGCTAGCCCGGCGGAGGGCCTAAGGTCTATCCCGTCTCTTTCGCCCTTTTTGTGCCGGACCATGGATCCTGATCTGGGGATGCAGCGTAAACGCCACTCTTCCTCAGTTTGGAGTGGGTTTCTCTGACTCGGGTCTGGCTGAGAGGTTCTCATCGCCCTGTTGGAGGTGCTGTCGCAGGGAACCTCATCCTAGTGCCTCTCACCCCAATCCGCAGGCCGAGTAACCCTTAGGCCAATTTGTTCAGGAAGAAAAGGATTCCGTTCTGTTCTGTGACGTCATTGCTGACACTTGTTTAGTGTTTAGATCAGGGAGTTGGTGAAGTTAGATTCTTGATAAACAGGTTAATTATTGTGATCATTGTCTGTGTTAATCCAACCACCTACATGCTCCCCAACGGCCCTCAGGTAAAGGTCCCAGAGAGATCACAGGAGGATCCTAGGTAGCCAAATCGAAATTTAGGGACGTTTCTTAATTCTTTTGTTTTTTGATCCCAAAAACTACGTTTCAAATTTGTTACATGGTGCAATCATAAGATATTAAGTCTGCCCCCTTCTCATACCCTTGTCTCCCCCGCAAAAAGAAAAGGAACCAATATTTTTGCATTAGAGTGAATATTGCCCTTCAGAGTGATGACTAGGAAGGCTCTGCAGCAGGTCTTGCTGGAATCTTTTGAAAATTGCCTTTTCCCTAGAACATTTGGGAAACAGTTGTGGATTTACAGAGGCAGCTTAGGAACAACCAGGAAACTCATTCTTCTTCATTTATGGCCGAATCTGTAGTGTGTGGGTGTATGTATGGGGTGTGTGTGTTTGTATGTATGAGTTTTCCCAGAAGTGTTACCCAACTTCATCCCTACCCTGTTCACCAGACTTAGCTCCAATGACATTTGTCTGTTTATAAAATTTCACCCTCAAAGGATAAAAGGAGTTCAGAAATTGAAGTTCTAAAAATTAGTTGAGTGCCACACAGCAGTTTTTACAAGTAAATGTAGAGTCAACTAAAATGACTAGTTGGAATGGGCTAAAGCTCATTTGGCTGAATGTTTATGCAAATACCACTCTCAGTAACTTGTATCTTATTATATACTGGATATCGACAAGTACCCCTTTCTAGCACATTCCATCCCTAACCCACAGAAGTGTTACCTTGAAAGTATTAATTTATTTTTTTTTTTTGCTTATTCTAGAGGCAGGCTGGAGAGAATTTATAAAAGAGCCTTCCAAAGCTTAGGAGGACTGGTGTGCAGAGGGTAGGATGTTGGAGCAGGCTGTTCAAAATGGAAAGGGCTGCTCTCCAAGCGTGGGTCCTCTCCAAACATGGGTTCTTTCAAGTGTCTCTCTGTAATCTGTTATTGTACCACGAAGTACACCTGTAATATTTTCAGCATCTCATGTCTTAGTTACCTACTGCTACCATAACAGAAATACCACAAGTGGGTAGCTTTAAAGAATAGAAATTTATTTTCTCACAGTTTTGGAAGCTAAAAGTCCAAATCAGTGTCTCCGCCATCTTGATTTCTATGGGCCTCTCTCTCCTGGTGTCTGGTGTCTGCCAGCAACTTGCTTATAGATGGTACTCAGATGGCATCTGTCTTCCTCCTGTGTGTATCTGTGTCTCCTCTGTTCTTACTGTAACTCAGAAATGACTAGGTTTAGGACCCATCCTACTCATGAATGGTCTCATTAACATAACAAAAGAAAACACTATTTCCAAACAGGATCACATCCACAGATACATATGTTGGGGGGGACACAATTCACTCCATACCACTATCCCATTATCTAATGTGTCATATTTTTCTGTAATACATTATAAAAGCTGTAGCCAACAAGTACTGTTGTCATTCACATATTAAAACTTTTCATCTGTTTGTTATCTTGCAATATAGTTGTAAAGATAACTTATGCAAAACATAGTAACAAAATCCCTAAGCCTAATACCAAATAGGATCCCTACCTGGTGTTTAATGACAGATTAAAATTTTGCCATAGGCCAAACTTGATATTTAAAAAATGGAAACCAATTTATGGCAATTGGGTAGCAATATAGTCTCTGTCTTTTCAAAGTTACAGTACTGAAATTGCCTCCTAAGATGACAGTTCTGCAAATAATAAATGACCATGCTACATCTGGATACCAGGAACAACCACTAATGTAACTAACCTAAACACACAGTCTGTTAAGTGTTCAAAATGCTAAAGAGAAATACGTGATTAGTTTTTAAAATATATGATTTTTAATTTGTATCACCCTCCAAAGGAACTCTGGTTGTATACTGAATAAAGCATTTGGCTGCTAACCAGAAGGTCAGCAGTTCAAACCCACCCGCTGCTCCACAGAACAAAGATGGGGCAATCTACTTCTATAAAGATTTACAGCTTTGGAAACCCAATGAGGGTCACTAGCTATGAGTCGGAATTGATTGATGGCAGTGAGTTTGGTTTTTTTAGTTAATCATAAACACCTGGATAATAGATATCATAATAATTACCAACATTACTAAGTCCTTTCTGTGTGCTAAGTACTTCATAATATTATTTCATTTAATCACTGCAATCCCATGAGGGATATACTGTTGCTATCCTATTTCTCTGACCAAATTGAGTCTTACTTACCTAAAGTTAACATTGCCAAATCTACCGGGACATGGTAAAATTAAATGTAAAATCAGCTATCTGGTTCCAGAGCTTTTATACATGTCATCAAGTCAGTTCTAACTCCTAGCAACCCTGTGTGCATCAGAGTGAAACACCTCCCAGCCCTGTGCAGTTCTCACAATCGTTGCTAAGTTTGAGCCCATTGTTGGAGCCACTGTGTCAGTCCATCTCATTGAGAATCTTCCTCTTTGTCACTGACACTGTACTTTACCAAGCATGGTGTCCTCCAGGGACTGGGCCCTCCTGATAACATGTCCAAAGAATGTGAGACAAAGCCTAATCCTCTCTTCTAAATTTGTTCATTCTTCTGGAAGTCCATGGTGCATTCAATATTCTTCACCAATACCATAACTGAAATGCATCACTTCTTCCTCCGTCTTCCTTATTCCTTGTCCAGCTTTCACATGCATATGAAACAATTGAAAATACTATGGCTTGGGTCAGGCACATGGATAGCCCTGGTGGTGCAGTAGTTAAGTGATTGGCTGCTAACCAAAAGGTCGACAGCTGCTCCTCAGGGGAAAAATGTTTCACTTTGCTTCCATAAAGATGACAGCCTTGGAAACACTATGGGATAGTTCTGCATTGTCCAGTAGGGTCGCTGTGAGTCAGAATCGACTCAGTGGCAGCAGGGTTTTTTGTTTGGTTGGTCAGGGGCACCTTAGTCCTCAGAGTGACATCTTTGCTTTTTAACACTTTAAAGAGATCTTTTGTACCAGATTTGTCCAATGCAATACACCGTTTGATTTCTCGACTGCTGCTTCCGTGGACGTTGATTAAACTCACTGCCATCGAGTCAGATCCGACTCATAGCAACCCCTCCTTGGGTTTCCAAGGCGGTATCTCTACAGAAGTAGATTGGCCGATCTTCCTTCCGAGGAGTGGCTGGTGGGTTTGAACCACCAGCCTTCTGGTTAGCAGTCAAATGCCTTAGGCGCTGAAATCCTTGGCAACTTGAATCCTTCTGCAAGTTTATTGCCCATTGTGAGGATTTTTGTTTTCTTGATGCTGAGGTGTAATCCATACTGAAGGGTGTAGTCTTTGATCTTCATTGTCAGTACCTCAAGTCCTCTTCACTTTCAGCTAGCAAATTGTGTCATCTGCATATCAGGTTGTTAATGAGCCTTCCTCTAATCCTGATGCCATTGTTCTTCATATAGTACAGTTTCTTGGATTATTTGTCCAGCATACAGATTGAATGAGTATGGTGAAAGGATGCAACCCTGATGCGTCTTTTTCCTGATTTTAAACCACACAGTCTCCCCTTATTCTATTCAAATGACTGCCTCTTGGTCTATGTACAGGTTCCTCATGAGCACAATGAAGTGTTCTGGAATTTCCTTTTTTTGAAATGTTACCCATAATTTGTTATGATCCACATGGTCTAATACCTTTGCATAGTCAGTAACACACAGGTAAGAAACTTTTGGCAGATCAAACCCACCAGCCACTCCTCGGAAGGAAGGTTGGGCATTCTACTTCCGTCGTGTTACCACCTGGGAAACCCAAGCGGGGGTCAATATGAGTCGGGGCGACTCAGCGGCACATAACAACAATAAAAACAACTTTCAGCCAAAATCCATCTCACTTATCTATACCTCTCAGACTTAATTGTAACTTTAAATGTTTATATTTTGTTTTGAATATACCTTTTATTTTCAGCAGAAACTGTGTCTTGAATCAAGATTAGAATGTAAGAAGCAAAATTAGGGAGGGAACCAATGAAAGCTTGTTAACATTTGATTAAGATTGTTTACTATAACATCAAAACACACACACACACAAAAAGTATAATACTGTCCTATAAAATTTGTGTGAGTTCTCAATGCAAAGACTCTTTTTTAATCATTCATTACTATAGCTAAGGGTCTATACTTACTAATGAATAAGTAAGTGTCTTGTTGCTGGCAAGTTGACTCATGTGACTCTTTGACAGAGTAGAACTGCTTTATAGGGTTTCCTGGGCTATAATCTTAACGGGGAGAGATCACCAGGTCTTTTCTCCCACAGAACCACTGCTGGGTTTGAGCTACTGAGCTTTTGGTGAACAGTGCAGCACTTAACTACTGTACCACCAGAGCTCTTTAAGTTCTGGTAGCATAGTACCT